ATCTTGCAGAAGGCAGAATTCTACGGCGTCTGCGTTCCCGTCGAGATAGCAATGCGCTGCCTCCATGGCGACACACTTTTCACGGCGGGCCAATCATAAAGGTTAAACGTCTTTACGGACTAAGACGGCGTCGTTTCGGTTCAATGTTGTCCACGGACTTGAAATGACTAAATTGCCTACTGTTCTATGAAAATAGAACTATTGTCAATTTTATCAAACGTATTGTTCACTCTTAAATTAATTTATAAACTAGTTACTAACCCGGGCGTATCGCGCGATCTGAAAAATAGCTATATATTTTTTAAAAAATATTATTAATGTTATAGTTTTAAACATTTTTTATTTTTGAATGTCTAATTTATATTTTAAATTGCAATGAATTTTTTTTAATATTTTTGAATCATCCAACATCCTTTTTGGATTTGTCTCTCGATCAAAACTCATATATATCTAACTTGTGCTTTTTCTCCATCGCCGTGTTTGTGTTCGACTCTTGGAAACTACTCACAATTCGCTTTTTATTGTTTAGATTTTTGTAAAATAAATTACTCTCTATCTCCGATCTATAGTCCTTGCTTCGTTCTTTTTTTATCTCGTATTTTGTAGTTTGATCTGTCATTTGAATGGAGATTCGTAGTTAATATTCTATTTTGATTATAATATACAAAGTAGATAAACATAATTCGGGCTTGTAGAACAACATCTTTGATTATATCATAATGGACTGAACTATTTTGTTGTTAAATATGATGTTTATAATATACAGCTTATTCTTGTAAAATATATTTTGTAGTAGTGAAATAGTAATAATGATTGTCATTGTTATTTGTAGATTATCTTGATCGTCAAACCTCAGATCTCTCACCATCTTCCTTATTCATATTCGCAGTTTCGTTTCGACTCTTCTGACATATCCCATCATCTTCTTTATTCATATTTGTAGTTCCGTCTGGACTCTTCTCAGATTTTCCACCATCTTCCTTATTCATATTCACATCTTCGTCTGGACTTTTCTCATATATCCCACCATCTTCTTTATTCTCATTCACAATTTTATCTGGATTCTTATGTTCTTTATCCACTGCTCTTTTTGGACTCTCCTTCACCATCAGTTCGTCATATTGGATAGATATAGGATTAAGTTCGACCGGAACGGAAAACATCTCACAAGCTTCATCATATAAAAAAGGTATGATCTGTCCTGCGCTGGTATGGTTAACATCAACAGGAATAAATCGAATAATCAACACTATCGAGAGCACTCCTTTAAATTGGTCTAATTAGTATTTAGACCAAGGTAAAGAATTTTATTTTTTCGACATATTTAATTTAATTATTATACATGGTGAAATGATTCATTCATAACTAAAAATATACCCAAATAAAATTTATTGTGTAAAAAAACAATTATAGTGGTTTCTGCAAATCAAGTATATCGTGTATAGATTGTTTTATAGATTTCGTTATTTCAAATCAAATATCTTCTTCAACAATCTGATACAAATTCTTGGTGTTTTAACCAAGAGGTTAGAACAATAAATGTTTGTAGTATAAATTTATGCAAATGTCTTGGTACGTATTTTAAACAAAATTATAACTTTTATAAATCAAAACACTGACACAATACAAACACACTTCCCTTTTTATATTTCACAATAATACATTACACATATACACTTCATTATATACACAACCTTTAAGAAAACACACATTCTGTAATAATTTGCTAAGTCACTAATACAACGGCACATCGATAGAGCCAAATATAACCGTTATTGAACAGTTATTACAAATCTAGAAAATCCTATCTTATTAAAATTGAAACATACAACGGCACATGGATATGTAACTGTCATATACACATAAGCACTAACCATATCAGTACTAAGCTTTTCTGCATAACTTCTGCTTCTTCTTCTTTCTTCAGATTCTGCATATTTTTTTAATATTCATTAGATGAGTTAGGTTAAAAATCCAACACAAAAAGAACCCAAAAAACACTCTTCAATCTTTCACGTTCACCAACTATATATACATATTATAACATAAAACAATATAACAATCACGGTATAAACCATAAATGTAATCTTTGATATCGATTTTATTGGCTTCTATGTATATTGTCGATCATATCTAATTCTATTTGGTAAGACTTGTTGGGTTTTCCTGGGATCTCATGAGCGAATCTAATTCCTAAGAGATCGATTCTAGGGTTTGCGCAGCGGATGTAAAACAAAAATTTTGATGAAACCCTAGAACCTTTCATGCATGATCTTGCAGAAACGTTAGAACGCTTACCTCAATCGATCCGGGGTCTGTATCAATTGATCTGTTCGTCCGATCACTGTATGCAGGAAGAATACCTTGCCCTCTACACGTATACACACGGCGGAAAGGATTCCAACGGTTGAAACTTGTCTGCTAGGACTGAAGAACGCTTTCTTCTTTGCGCAAAGGATTCAGGGATCTTTCTCTTAGGTTTTTCACTCTCCAAACCTCTCCCTAGGGTCTGAAATTCGTGCCAAAAGAGTTCGGTGGCATTCCCTAAGTTTCCCCTCATTAAAACCCTAATTAGAGCGAGTTTAGTAAATCCCGACGTCTGGACCGATCGGTCTGGAGCTTTTTAACGTCTGGACCGATCGGTCTGGAACAATTTCCGACCTCACACGTTACCTCTGGACCGACCGGTCTACGTCTAGACCGATCGGTCTGGGTTAGCTGGACCGATCGGTCCAGACCTTCTGGACCGGTCGGTCTGGCCTCCGCTCCACCGGGATTTTCTCGTCTCTTTTCGCGCATTCGTCCTTTCCTGTGTGTGTGACCCTGTAGGCTCATCCGATATAGCAGTATAACACGAAATCTCTTATTTCGGTTACACAAGTCATAGGCGGTCTCTAGCAAGACACTATGACTACCTATCTCGAATAGAGTTTGTTCGTGATCATACGAACGCCAGTGAGATTCCGGTTGATGATCCTTTTGTATCGCGATATCATACGTCGAACATAAGGCATGGACAAACCACCTTATCTGATTCGACTGCTTTCTCGTTCACTGAGTTCGACTGTCTGAAATAGACGACGTTCGTCTATAGTGCGGCCACACATTTCTACAGTCTCGCTCACACGAGGGGCCCAGCGATATCTCTCTCTTTTACGAGAGGTATAAATCCCGTCTTGACTATCTACAATCCAGCACATGATTCGTTTCGTACCTGATACACGCCTTTATAGTCCTCCTGTTGCGCAGGACGTTTGACGTAATCAAAGTACGCAACTCCTCATGTTGGATTCCGTAGATATCTCAGGTCTTAGGATCCAATCATGGAACCGTCATATGAGATTCAAGTCATGACGCTAGTCCATGTGACAATCTCATGCGGGTCAATCCAGTATTTCGTTCTCCAACGAATACCTATGATTGTGATCGTATCCAAATACCTATGATCATCTATATGATCAACAATCACACATCATACTAGTCTTATTATGTCATCATTCTCATAATGACACAAGACTAGGGAGTTAAGTATCATTCATAATGATACATAGATTTCATAACACATTTAGTATGCAAGAACATGTAATGAATCAAATACTCTCATAAACCATAGAAAGTATCAATACATCAAATGTATCTAAATAAAGCTCATAAACAGTACATCATAGAGCACTAAACCAACAAGACTAACCACACATAATGTTTAGAAGCTTTTAAATTTCAAATTCAACCTCAGAACACCATCTAAATGTCTATATTTTAAATTGAGATATATCGTATTTATAAATTTTATAATATCAAACATATATATATATATATATATATGTAATATAATAAATGTAATAAATATTAATTGATAAACTTGATGGAATTGGCTTGACTTCATTTAGTTTGTATGAATGTGGTTGGTTATCATCCAGATACTGCAAAAAAGAACAAAAATTATTGAGTAATAATAATACATGTAAACGTATTTTAGATTTTAAATGCAATTTCAAATCACCATCCGTTTGTATAAATCTCTATTTTTTGAATGGAGATATGTTGTGTTTATAAGATTCAGAATATATACATATATATATGTATTATCATAATATAATAAATTTTAATTGACAGACCTGATGGAATTGAGTTGGTTGCAATTAGTGTCATTGCTTAGGTATCATCCAGATACAGTCAAAGCCAAAAAAAATAAAAAAAATGATTGAGTAACAATAATACATATAAACGCATTTTAGTTTTATAAAACCAATAACTTACTTTTAAAGATTGTTGAATATCTCTTTGAATACAATGTTTTCCACTTCATTTGAACAAACATTGGTGCTTTGTAAGTTTAATATTCTTTGTCCTTGAGAAGATGTGACCCTCAAAGTGAGACGTACAATTGACCGTGGCTAAACACTGGATTGGGAATATATATTCCTGCTCTTTTCAATGTTTGGCCCTGGCTTTTGTTGATTGTCATCCCATACCATATTCGTAGGGGAAATTGTATTCTTCTCATCTTGAATGGTCATTTCGTATCACTTGGACATATTATAATTCTAGGAATGAAAACCTTTTGTCCAATATGATTGTCCGTGATGATTTCTATCTCAATCACTTTGTTACCTAGCCGTGTAACAGTCATTCGAGTTCCATTGCAAATCAAGCATCTTAGTCGACAGATGACTCACGCTCTTTCTGTTCAAATAGATTACATAAATAAATATTTCTAAAATACATTTTATTTGGCAAATGTATTACAACATAATATAAATAAAAGCACAAAATAACAAACCTCTTGACACCTAGCATTTGTTTTCCATCTCTATACACATGTATCTCATGTTCATCACCTTAAAGTATATTAATGATGAATGTAAAAGTTGTATTTATCAAATTATGCATGTTAAGTGTAATATATGTATAAATCTACCTCAGGTTCCTTTGTAGTGGGTAACCTTATTTCTTCCAATACTCTGGTCACTGTAAAACTCTCAAAACGGCTGCTAAAATTGAAGTGATTTATTCTAACATTAAAATTAAAAGTCTTTCCAACAATAGACTCCTTGATGGTAGTATGCACACTTTCCATATCAGAATCCTACATCATATATTTATATATTTAGTAGACTATAGTTATATATAATAAGGAGAAATTAAAATAAATTTCAATGCAAAAATCAATGAGAATTTATATGCAATCTCATTAACTTTAAAAAATACTAACATCATGGCCCTTAATATGAGAAGCTGTAGGGTTAATAATCTCCCTTTCATCTCTGTCAAAGATAACAAAAGTTGTTGTGTCTTCTCCATCATCTGCAATACATTCAAAGCGGAATTTGAAACAATAACAAAATCATTAAATATTATGTATGATATCTATAAAAACATTTATAGATTTTTGGACGCTACATGATGTAAGCACAGCGATGGATGGTTAGAAACAGTCCTTAACACGATCACCCGCACTTCGGATCGAAGGCACTCGAACTCACGCAAGGAAATAAGGATGGCTTTCGGTGGTTAAAGGGGATGGCTTTAGGATCAATCACAGACCTAGCTTGGCACTCGAACTCAATCGTAAAGTGGAGGAATGGATGAAAAATCGAAGGATAGGGTCTCGGACAGACCAAGACAGGATTGTCGGACAAACCGAGCACGAAATCGGGCAAACCGAGAAGGAGTGATTAAACTCGACAAAGAGAAACTTTCATTCAACCAATCTGCACGAAATAGAGTTCTTACAACATATTTATAGAGGATTAAGTAGGTAGCAACAGCTAGAAATACATTAATGATCAATCTACATGCAAGGTAGGTGGAGCCTTGGTCATTAATGGTGGTGGTTGAGAAGATACTAGCTGTTGGAGGTTCCTTGCAATCCAAGAAGCTTCCTTTGGTGACTTGTCTTGACTTGGATGACACTTAATCTTGCAAGGAGATGAGGTTTCACGTCTTGGTTGATCCGAAGGGAATGGAGCTCGTGTTTTGGCTCGAGTCAATGGTGGTTCGGCCCGAAAAACCTAGAGATGCATCCTTCGGTTTTTGTACAACCATCCTTGGCTCTTCTTGGACGTGGATCACCTTGTGATTTGATAGCTCGTCCTTCTATGTTTGA